ACACACACACACATACACACACACACATATACACACACACGCACAAAGAAAAACAAGTAGATAGAATAGAAAAAATAGAAAGCTAGTGTTTGTTTGTTTTTTGTTGTTGTTTTTTTTATAAAAAATAAAAAAAGAAGATAAATATAGATAAAGTAGAACTAAAATAGAATAGAAAGTGCTAGAGTTAGAGGGTCAAATAAAGGTGATATTTATGATGGTTGCAGAAATAACTACGAATCATCTTACAGCTACCAAACCATTTGTTTATAGAAGATTTGAAATTGTGAATTAAACATGACACAACTGAGGTTTCAAGTTAAAAATACAGCTGAGAAAGCAAGGCTGAGGATGTGCTTCCAGTTGTATGAACGCTCTACAAAATGGATGAAAGTACCGCCAGAGTAAAGATGTACTCTTTCACCACTAGGATGTTGGGGTGAACGTTAAAGTCAACATGAAATAGTTTTTGCAACCCATTTTTACTTCGATGATGTAACATATTTCAGGGTGAAGAAAAAAAAAAGTAGGTCAAGATGACACTTTTCACTATCCAGTCAATTCAGTAAGTTATACAGCTTTGTTTGGAATAAAGTTAATTGCTAAATAATTTACAAGTTGCCATTAAATAAGAGCAAAAACCTTTAGGACAGATGTTTGGCATTATGCTTTTGTTTAATTGTAACTCAGACGAGACAAAGACTGCATCGTAATTTTTCCACCCAATAGGAACTGATGAAGCTGTCGCTAAAGTAGATGGTGCAGTTAGCCAACAAAGCCTTTGATTTAATGTCACGTTTCTGGGTTTGATGGTTACTCTGTCAATAAGTGTTTCCCAACGGGAAAACATGCTTGCTTTGCCGTTTGCATGTATGTCGAACACTATCTTGACATCTAATCAAATTTCACCTCTGAAAAATAAACTGATGTGATATAGCTCACAGACATGAAAAGTTAAACGATGTCTGTGGCATCTATCTTTATACTGCTATCAATTTATTACACAAATCCCGAATGCTTCTGATCTTGTCGACAGCGCTGTGTCCCTGTGTTCACTGCTATGCTAGCTGAGCGGTTTTTGATCTAATATTCATCATAGAGGTTCAAATAAAGTTTGGTTTGCTGTGAATTCAATTACAGTGGGAATTATCTACATCTTAAGAAATGTAGTCCGATAGATTTGACGTAGGCTTTTTTTTTTCTTCATTGAAAAAGAAAATCACTTATAAAAGACTATGCTGTAGCGCTCTGATGTCGTTTATTTCAAAGATGTCTTTTGGACTTTTTCATGTATAAGTTCATCCTTGTGAACAAATCTACAGAATCTATAAAATTGTTTAAGCTCTTTTAGTTTTCTAAATATGTGAATTCTGACAGGATTGTTCTGGATTTAATACTAGTTCTGCCTAGGTTAGGTTATCTGTGGCATCGATTATGTTGAAATCTATGGGGAAGACTTTTCTGTAAAAGCAGAAACGACAAGCAGGTCATATTTTTGTTGGAGCACTTATATTTTTGTAGAGGTTGGAGGCCTGTTCACACCAAAAAGGAAAACGCACAATAACGCTTTGTTTATTTTAAGCACATGCTGCTGTTGTGTCATCTTCAACTTTAAATGATCAAGCTCTTTAAAGCAGGATAGATTAATTGACTGTCATTTTTATCATCCATCTGCTGATTGATGAAAGCTGGGAAAAAAATGGTTTGAAAGTGATTCTGACCATATAGTTTCTCTGTGCTGTTGTGGTGTGAACTCTTAAATTTAGACCGGTTTTAAAACTATATCTATATCGCAGTCATTATCTTTGTGCAAACGGGCCTTAATTCATTCAGATAGTAAAATTTCCTAAATAGTGCTTTTTTTGTGATGGGTCTACTTTTTAGACGGATGAACTTATGATTATACTGACATAGATCCTCTTCGTGGATTTCTCTTTATGTAACGACTCTTTCTGGTAGTCTTGCACATATTCTGTGAAAGCTACAGGGCTTAATGGTTGTACATGGTTTCGGTTAGTTAAACTATAAAATTAGTTAAAACTATTAATGTTTCCTTTCTTCCCAGTGTAATGTCTTACCCCCTTGGTCTTCCGTTGGAAAAGCGCGGCAGTCCTCACCAACAACAATCACGTTCTGTTTATGTTAAGCGCACGCTTTTAAATAAAATGCTATTTGGCGGTAAATGTTCTTATAGTTTCTTTATCAGGGAAAAAATGGGCTAAAAGTGATTACAGCGGTATAATCCGTGCCGTTAAATATTTATTATATATGCTATTTATTCCTCCGATAGATATTCACCTCCCTGAGCTCTCTAGCCGCGTTTTGCTATTTGTTCATAACATTCCTGCAGTTCTCTGGATGCATTTCTATTCTCCGCCACTGGAGGCCGATCTTTCCTCATGAATTGCACTGAATGTTTCCCACTGAGTGAAGGAAGAACAAATTATCGACGAACTAAATATTTAATGAAGATGATGAAGTCAGGTCGTTGTTTATACATAATTTAGTCTAATCACTTCTCAAACCCCTACTGGACTGATAGTAGGACAGCCTGAAAAGGTTTGAAACAGTTTGTGACTTGTTTGAGACTAGAAGAACACTTTTACTGTAAACTAACGCTATGGTATTAACAGGACAGATGTCACTGTGGTCCAAAAGAGAATTAAACTCGTCTGGTAAGTGTAACAGATGCTTTTATTTACAGAGACAATCCCACTGGACAAATCTCAGGTTTCAACCCGAAGAAAATCCAGTTCTGGGCCAGAAAAATAGGCTCTACACTGTCCCTTTAAAAACCTGCTGATCTCAACCTCTCTGGCTTCAGCACACCATTTTGTTTGAAAAGATCAGTGTCCAGTTTCAACACAACAGTGATGCATTTAGCTAAAAATATTCATGTATTTGCACACGCAGGTTCTGTGTGTCCGCCTGCAGTTCTTCCAGATTTTATGTTGTGTCTTTCTCCTTCCATCCAGGAAGTGTTGTGATGTGCTGTGATTTTTACAGGGGGACACAACCCCATCATCTCAGTCTCTTGAGTGAGCTGTGTGTTGTTCATATAAAAGCATATGTGTGTATCTCCCGCTGTGATGTAGCTCTTCTCTTAAGCAGGTGTGTTTTCTCAGCGTCTCTCTTTACAGTCGATATTTGTGTTTGTGGGTTTGGCCCCTGAAGGGATCATTTCTAAATTCAGTTACATGAAGCTCAGCTCTCCTCTGCTCTACTCTTTCATCACTCGTGAGACTGAATGGAGTTCTCCGTTATGTCTCGTTTCAACCCTGTATCAAGTATCAACTTTGTTTCAGAGATTTCTTCTAAGCTTCTTTTAGTCAAATTAAAATTGTGACAGAATTAAATCACTAGTTGTCATACAGTAAAGTGTATGGAAATATAAAATGAATGTGGAGCAGCTCAGATCTCTTGATCTTGGGGA